CAACATCTCCTCCACTCCTAACCCCTCGTAATGAGCCAATCAGCCACACCCATCCCACCCATTTTTCCCTTCTTATTCTTATTAAATAAATCCATCGTAAAAAGGGTCATTCCCAAGTGGACCGAGTTCGCGTAGTCTTGACGCATCGGAGTGATTATATCATATGAGTCGTACGTTAGACCTCACAAAATCAATGGACCAAACTTGCGTGAACTCGATGTGCCCTCGAATTTCTCGCTACAAGACCGGCGTGCAATAATAAACGTTACACGTGTGGCGAAAAATTGAAACTTTACCGAATTCACGTCGATGTAGTTATTTTTGGACCGTCGATCGCATTCTTGTAATCCGGATTTCGATTATTGTAGAATTCTATCGTTTGGTTGCTTAACAAATATACTCGGGACACACTTTACGAAGTCCTTTACAAATTTGTGTTCGTGCCATTGGAAATAAATGAAATTGTTATATGACATGTGTGCCACAAGGCCAAAGTGGGGCAACATGTTTAGATACAAGAGGGAATTTTTTTGGAGACTTTTATTTTTTTGTTTGCTTTATTCTCGCTTTTTTGACTAATTAATTTTCCCATATCAACCGCATTTCACCGTCGCGCAGGGTCCTTCCTCCATAGCAGCAGCAGCAGCAAGTTGTACGAAGCTTCCACGTAATGGAATACGGGGAAAATTTTGTATTAGACTAATGCACATGTCCCTTTGAAAAGACAATGGGCGAGAGGAACAGGAAAGGGGGATCTGCGAGGCTCAAAAGTCATCTGCAGCAATCAGCAAAGGCTTGACGATCTCTTCTTGGCTTGCTTTTTAGCGATGCATTTGCCGATCCATTCTTGGGCTTTTCTGATGTACTTGCATCGCTTTTTTTGAAAAACGTCATAATCGCTTTTTCTCATGTAGTCCATATTCCCACCATGTAATCCATTCCCTCCATATTCCCACCACCATGTAAATTACATGGTGGGAATATGGATTACGTGAGAAAAAGCGATTATGACGTTTTTCAAAAAAAGCGATGCAAGTACATCAGAAAAGCAATCCAAGCCAAGACTGGATCGAAATGGATTACATAGAAAGCAATTACGATGTCTTTCAGAAAAGCGATGCAAAAACATCATAAAAGCAATCCAAGCCAAGAATGGATCGGCAAATGAAACATCGGAACACACAGACCCCCCCTCCCCTATAAAAAAGCCCAGACCAGGCTCTGTTTCATCGTCTCCTTCTTCTACACCGCCCAGAGAGAGATCTTGACACACTCACACACGAAGGCAGAAATGGAGTTATCGTGCACAATTCTGGACTCCGTGTCCTCCCTCCTGAGCATCGTGGCCTCCCTCCTGACCATTATTGCCTTCTTCCCGAGGATCCTGCACGTGAGAGGTCCTGACACTCACGCTCAAGTTCCTGCTCCGGGACTACCTGGGCAGCGGGGAACCGGCAGCAGGCGAGCTCCGGGAGGCGGTGGAGAAGGCCAAGATGACGCCGGCGGACATAAGCGAGGTGCTGATCAAGAACCGGAGGAACAAGGAGAGGGCGGAGGGGGAGCTGCTGGAGGCGCTGAGGGCGAGGGCGGAGAGGAACGAGAAGTACGGAGGAGGGCCGAGGGAGGAGTGCGAGCTGAACGGGGTGGCGGCGAAGGAGGAGGAAATGGTGATTTTTGCCTAGAGATTTGTGATGGTAATTCGGATTGAAAAAAAAAATGCCATCAGCATTTCTTCTGTTCATATTACCTAGATTGTGTTCATTATATTGATTTTATTCTACAGGAGTTCTCTTCTTGGATCTCAATGGAACAGATTTTCATTAGGAGCTACATAATTGCTATTCTCACACTTCATAGTGCATAAAGTAGAGCTTCTGTATTATCCGGTTCCTTAGTGTAAGTACCAAAAAGAGCACATTTGTTTTAGACTATGAAACAAGATATCTTCTCTTGTCAAGCTCAAGTAGAAAGTGTTCCAATCCAGCTAATATATGTTAGAGGGTATGGTAAGGTACTTGGGCAATAGATCAAAATAAGGTCTTTTCTTGTGAAGAATGTAATGAACGCTGAGTGAATTAATTTGTTTTGAATTTTGGCTAGTCTGTCTTTTGAATGGTGTGACGCAATTCTTCTCTTCATCTTGATGCTTAGGAAGATGTGATGCTTCGAGGAATGTATTCTTCTTGAGTTGTGATCTGCTGTAACGCCCGTCTGAATCTCGATCATCATGGGGCTGACTATTTTGGACTCAGAGTTCCGCAAAAAATTTTGTGGATTATGCAACACCTATTTTGGAGTTGAATACATTCAGAAATGTTAAACATCATGTCTCCATTTTGAAGATAACATGTTCAGCCAAAAAATATGCAGCACCTATTTTGGAGTTGAATACATTAAAATTTTGTGGGGCCCAAGTGATCCTTAAGATTGTCAAGTGTTCATGAAAATGAAAACAAAATCAACTTGTAGTGGACAGCACTTTGGTCCTGGCAAGATGTAAGATCAATTGTCTTTCTTTTCTCAAATAAAAAAGATCGATGGTCTGAAGAGGTGATAAAAGTGACAACAGTCAAAAACTCGGGTGGAAAGGGGAAAAGGGCACCTGGACGAAACAAGAGTGCATGTGCATAGCACGGGCACTCAGACTAGTACCCACCTAAAACGTCTGCTTTGGTTTTGCATAAGCCTTTGGAAGTCGTGTATATCTAGATGACATTGTGAAGAAGATGAAAACTCGAAAACATGAATCAAATTAGATTAGAGAAATTAGATTAGGCTTTCTATCAAATTAGACTGGTGCGGAGGAGGCAAAGCAATTGAATTCGAAATCTCGGGATCTTGATGAGGATATGTCTACCACTAATTATGCTAAATCTGCATTTCCCAATTAGTGTAATCTGCAACATAACCCAAGTTAAGAAAAAGAAAACATCAGTAAGAGTTTGGCTACTGCAAGCTGCCAACTGAGTTAGGAATCTCTCGTGACGTGAAGAAATCACGTCATTGACTCATTGAGGAAGCACCATCCATAATGGAAGAAAAACTGGAAGCGCTGAGAAGCATCCACCTTAATACGCAAATTAATTACTGACACAAACATTACATAAAGGAGTTTAGGCAGAACAAGATCAGTCCAGAAGAGAACGTGACATTTTTCCATGAGGTTTAACCGCAAAATTTGGGGAAAAGTGCCAAAAAAGTCCTAAATCTTGTACATTTGTGCCAATTTAATCCTAAATATTTTCTTAGTGCTAATTCAGTTCTAAACCTTTTGCTTTTGTGCCAATTTTTCCTTTCAGCCAATTTTGGCTCGGATTTTGCTGACGTGGTCACGGACTGGCCGGCGGCCTGTCACCGACGCTAACGTGGACAACTTTAATAATATTTTAATATTTTTTTGAATTTTTGTTTATTTATTTTTCTTTTTTTTTCCCCTCCCCTCCCTCCTTCCTCCATCCGATCGCCGGACCAGCGATTGGCCAAAGGCCAGAGGCCGGCGAGGCTCGCCCTTGCCAGCGACAACGAAGGCAAGCCTCGCCATGGCTGGGCAAGGCACGAGCTCACCGGAACTAACAAAATTAGATTAAGCTTTCTATTTTTTTTCAAAAATTTTAAAATGTAAATAAATATATATGAAAAAATTAGAAAAATATATATTTATTGATCCGGTCCGGTCCGGTTCTCACCCTAGAACCGGGAACCGGACTGCCCGGAAACCGGTTCCACTTTTAGGAACCGAACCAATATTCCCGAGAACCGGATCAAACTGGTCGGTCCGATCCGGTCCGGTCCGGTCCCGATTTGAGCAGTCCATCTTGCTCACCTCCGATGAAAACAAAGTAATCTGTCAGAATATACTTTCATTGATGGTAAAAAACCAACGACGTTGAAAACATGTCTACAAGTGCATACTGCATAGTGACAAGGCGGGTTTGGGCTTTTTCACCTATTATCTATTTCTAGACCAAAAAAACCTGTTATCCATTTAATTGGTGAGAACAGAGGTTGAAGTTGAATAAAGTCACGTGACGAGTACATATCGAATGAATTAACTTTCTACTCGTACTCGGTTTCGTGATTTCGAAGTTTTTTTTAAAGGTTGGCCTGTATTGAAACCGTAAGTGCTCCACTCATTCTACGTTTCTGAAGCGAGTTTTCACGGACGAATTCACTTACAGTTCCAATCTATGCCAAAAAATCGTTGGGAGCATCAATTCATCATGACACAAATCTAATGCAGCAACGAAAAGAACTCCAATCTATGTTCGTCGAACTAGGTATCGTGGTTTCTTTAGTTTGGTCTCTTTTGGAGAAGGAAAACAAAACGGAAAAGTTCTATCAAGTCTGGTATAATTTGGTAAGGTTCGATATGATTATTGTCATTCTCAGTGACATCGAAATTAATTGAGTAGGAGGCAATTAATTAGTAAAAACAATAACTTTGACATTGCGTGACTTTCACATTAGTTTTGGGGTTTCCAAATTTATATGGCTTTCTAATTCAAGAAATCAAATTCAACAAAGTAGCAAGTTCAGTTGGCTAATAACGAACTAGCGATTAGGTTTTTTTTGTTTTTCTTTCCTCATTCAAATTGAACAATCAATACCTACACTTCAAATCGATCACCTCATTGTTGTAATTTTTGCAAAATTTTAACCTCAAGGGTCAAATATTTTGATGCCCTGTCACATCTTTTGGCAAAAAAATCGCCGATATCACTCAAGTTATAACATTCAAAAGTTCAATTGAACAGACTTATAGCACAAAACACGCCGACTTTGTGCCATAATTTAAGGAGCTCAGTATCGTTGCCCTTGCTTTTGTCGCTGATGGATGTCCAATAACAAAGCGCGTGTACTATATCAACTAATTCTTTTTTTGTCCATTTTGTTCTTTTCTCATTATTCCATCCAAATATAGCATAAGAGAACTAGCCCGAATGAAGACAACCTTTTATCGCTTTCTCTAGCTATTTGAGTCTAACAGAACAGAGAGCAAGTATCACAAAATGAAAGAGACCATTTAATACAGGAAATAGCTAAGATAGTCCTCGATGGCATTACAAGATCATCTAGTAAAAACCACAAACTTCCTTCTTTGAGGAAACCTAGTAACTGTAAAACAAAACGATGAGCGTGCCATGCTCAAACCAAACCATAAAGAAGAAAAATTACACCTTCAATTCTTCTAAATTGAGCTATCTGTTCGTTTTCGCCGGCATCAGCGAATTAAACCCTCCTCTCCTGAGCAGGTGGTTCTTGATTGTATCCTCTGTCTTGCCGTGGATCAGCATGAGGTCCATTATATCCTCCCCTTCCGCAGCCACAAAAACCATGTCCTCTTCCTTGACCCTACCTCTAGCATAACCTTGGTTGCAGCCCCAACCTCCATCATTATACTCGGAATTCACAAAGCCATTCCCTGAAACAAGCAATATTATAGGTTGGAACCAGAAAGCAAACATTTAGAGGATTGCAGATGCAGTAGAGGGTATGTGCCCATCGGCATACTCCTCAAAGGAGTACATTAGCATTTTGGTGCTATTACAACAGAATATGACAACAATTTAGTTAACCATTATGCAAGATCCTATATCTAAAACACAGCCTTCCATGTGATCTAAAAAAATGTTCAGTTTTGTGAATGCAATACCTCTAGCTCTTGGTCTTCCTCTGCCCCCGCGACCTCTTCCTCGCCCACTAGGTGATCTACCTATTTAAATGAGGAATATAATTAGAAGAAACCTAGAGAAACAACATAACAGTCATTGGTAGACAATAGCGACAGAATGATTTCTTGAAGTACTTCCCTCAGAATAAAGCTCTGATGATGTCTTCACCATCTCAACAGGCAATGGAGGCTGATACCTGCAATAGAGGGCACTTGCGCCTTATGATGGATAAAGCACCAAGCTCTTAATATGTCTAACTCTCAATATGAAGAATCAATGACAAGAGAAGAACACCATGAACTCAACAACAGCCGATGTGTCCAGTTCCTTCTTTGAAAGAGTTACTGCAATCATCCACACATGCCACGTGGTCTCCAGCCAATCCAAACAAGAGACAGACATTAAATGGAGAAAAAGAGCAATTTTGAGATTGAATATATATGGCCAATCAGTTTGCAGCTACACTTACGCGACAATCTCCCGTCTGAATATCAACTTGCAGCTCCAAAAGAACACATCTCCAATGTTGGTTAAGCAAATAGCCTGGTCTTGGGCAGCAGTGGCAAAATTATGACCACCAGTCAATCTGTTAGAGTTCAGCGGATACTGTGCCAATGGGCAAATGGCTCAGAAGAGGTTTTGGGTGCCCGCTTAGCCAATTCTGGTATCCCGAATACACGCCAGAACATCAATTTTTCATCTGCTGCTGCAGATGCCACCGTGCATCCATCCGGACTCTGCAAAACAAGTATGCGGCAACGAGTATCAGCAAAACGATCAACTCAACAAGAAAACTTCAAAAGTATTTACACCGAATTGCGGATGAATATGATAAGCAGCAAACAAGTAATACCTGTGCCAGGAACAGAACCCTAGATGCGTGTCCAGTCAACTCTGTCATCGTTCCCATAGATGGATACTTCCAAAGAATGAGCTGGTTCTCAGGAAGCCCGTGAGAGCTTAGCAATTCCCTCTCCCTCATGCTCCACAGCAGCGCGCACACCTGAGAACCGGTGTCCACTGAATTCAGACACGCGCCCGTGCACGTGTTCCAAAATTTTATGCTCCTGTCGCTCCCTCCCGAGGCCAGTAAGTTGCTCTGAAACGGGCACCAAGCAAGGGCTTTCACAGCAGCCGTGTGGTCTTCAATCCTGTGAAGCCACTGAGTGCCTGAATTCAAAGAGGATCTGGACCTATCCCACAAGTAGAGGAGATTATCCTTTCCTCCGCTAGCCAGCTGTTTTCCTGAGGGCGACCACTTCAGCCCGCAAACTTCTTGGCGGTGCCCCCTGTAGGTTCCAACTATGTGCGATCTAATTCTTATATCATTGTCAGTGATTTTACAATCCATACCTCCTGTCGTGAGTATGTGATTGTTCCAGGCCAAGGAACAAACTCGGAGTCGATGGCATCCTCTAAAAGTTCTCAGCTGCATGAGAGGAAACGAAAATAAAAAGCAATTAACGCAGCCTGAATAATAACCCACCCGTCAGCCACAGACGAAACACTAATGCTATCAAAACAACAAGCAACCAGCTTACCTGTCTTTGAGCAGAGAAATCCCATAGCTGGACATGAGAATTTTGTAAGCCAATGGCGATATTCTGACCATCAGGAGCCCAGCTCACGCTCGTGACAGGACCCTCCTCATCATTGAAGGTCACCAGTTCTGTAGCAGAGCCGTCGGAGGCATTCCACAAGTACACTGACTGCGAAAGAGCAATTGCTACCATATTGTTGGCACCCCAGTCCAGCAAGTTCAAGTAATAATCGTCCAATATATAAGGGGCTTCAAGCATCCTCTGGCACGTCTATCAATCGACAAACCAAAGAAAATATGTCAAAAGACAAACCCTACAGTCTTTAACAGCACAAGCAAAGCAAGTACATACTTATGTTCCATGAAACAAATGCTAACTTGTTGGTCAAGTTTTATGTCATGAATAGAAGAAACAGTAATAGGCATGAATTTTAGGCTACCTTGGGTATCGATCGACTGGGCTTGGTGGATTTAGACTGGGAAGTCGCGGGTGAGAGCCAGCTTTGTGGGATTAGCTCAACCGGGGTGGGCGGCTTGTTCTTAAATGCCAGGATCCGGGATCGGTTCATGTCGAGTGCATCCGCGAGAAATTTCTGGTACGCGTCACTTGATGTTGACATCACGGCAGACTTCTCCTTCCACTTCTTCCCTAGAGTGAAGAGGGAACGAGCGTAGTCGAAGTCCATAGCTGAGCGGTTCGGGATGAATCTATCCAACTGTGAAAAACATATCACAGAATTAGAAGGGAACAATTCTATCGGAACTTACCAACAAGAAGAAGAAAAAAAACGGTAAAATTGCTTGTAAATCCTCGTAAAAGAAGAGGGAATTAATCATAACTCTGTTTTTGTTCAAAGAAAAGTACCGTATGGTTTCTCTCTGTCTGCGATGAATGTTATAAGAGAATGGCGACAGAAAAGTCGTAAGAAGCCCTGTATAATTTCGCAAATATCACTCAATAGCATCATGAAATAAATAGCCCTAGAGAACTCGCATTGCAACTCGAGTCTCCATCAAAACCCTTCATCCGCAGAACATTCATAACCAGAAAACGAACAATTCTGAAAAAAAGGTCTCTGTAAACGATGAGAAAGCAAAAAACCAAAAGCTTACGTTTTCTCGAGAATTCTTCTGGTGGAGGTATTCCTGGTAAGGATCCAGAGAACCCTTCTCGCCCTGTGAAGCCATGGTCCCGGCAGCAGAGGAGCTGGGTCGAAATCCTGCAAAAGAGAAAAGAAGAAGGGAAATTTCAAAGGAGAGAAGAAGACCCACAAAGAAGGACCGAGCGTTGATGATGGGTCGTCGTCACTGTGTCTCGCTGTGCCCTCAAATCAGAGGCGCCGACACAGAGAGAGAGAGCGAGAGATTTCCGAGAGCAGAGAGGTTGAGAATGAGAAGGGAGAGCTAGTTCGCAGGTGAGAGAGACAGAGAGAGATGAAGAAGGAGAAGAAGGACGAGGAGATGATGATCTTGAATCAGAGGCGGGTCGGATCTTATATTTATAGAAAGGAGTCGTTGGCCTTCGTCGCGTTCGTCGGACGCGACCAAGGCGCGTGGGTAATCCGAGGTAATTATTTCGGAAGTCTATTTTTATGACTTTTTCTCCCGAATTTTTGAAAACGGAAAAAAATAAAAAAATTAGGGTCAGTACAATAAATTAAATATAAATGTTTTGTTAATTTATTATCCTTTCTTCCTTCTCTAAGGCGACTCTTCACTCCCCATGAAATTATCGATCAATTTTACTTTTCATTCAACGCTCAGAAGAAGTAAACCCACTTAAGGGTGCGTTTATTTTACGACAAAATTAAAAAAATTTGAAAACTATTTTTCAAAAATTATTTGGTTGTATTGCTTATAAAAATGAATAAATCATATCATCCAATAAAATAGTACCACATAAATTGTTTTCGATGATAAAAATATTTTTATTGACTAATTTTTTTAAGTGATATAACTAATTATTTTTTGAAAAATATTCTCCAAATCAAATTTTCGTGAAACGAACGTACCATAATATTCTCTAATCATCACTTTAATTAATTAATAAATAAAAGTAATAGGTGATTTTTTTATACATAAAGAACTTCAATGATAGGGCACCTCAAATATCATGTAGAAATCAATGTCCATAAAATAACAGGGGGGCAAATTAACATTCCATTTTTTTACTTTAACACGCTACAGATCTTGATAATCGAATTTCGCAAAGTATCATTCTTTCACGAAAAAAGACTATATCAACCATCCACCAATTTTTTCCCACGAGCGTATGATAATTGGTTCTTCTCCAAAAATTGGGAAATTGCCGAGGGCTATCCTAGCAATTTTCATCGCGATAATAATTTTTCTTATATATAATTTAAACAATTTTTTTATAGAAACAGAGAAGGAAAAATAGAAATTTTTTTTAAAAAAAAAACATAAAATGGAGAAGTCTTCATCATTTGGACCCCCCTCCATCTCTCTGCATTTCCTCTCTCTTCCTTCTTCGCTCAAGAAAAGAGGGAAGAGGGAAGAGGGAAGCTTCAGCTTGAGCTTGAAGTCAATTGGGGTCGCGAATAGCGGCATAAGGACCATTTCATCTCCTCTGCGGCCGAGGAGGCCCATGAATCCACTGACGTGTACATCGCGATCTTCAATTTCTGTTCAATTGCTTAGATGCTTGTGGACCGTGTGCTTTGTTGCTTTTGAGTTGTGACTGATTCTTGGATATCTGCATCAGTTCGTTCTTGGGTTCTAAACATGCCACCAAAATCGAATGAAACAGCACCCTTCAATTTACAAATTTAGTTTTATCTTCTTGTCTGGCGAAAGCCCGTTCGCTTTGCTGTCTTGGCACTCATTCCGACGATAGGTTTCGGTGCCTGCTAGTGGTGGAAATGAAGAACGAGTCCATGACATTGCGAAAGCTTCTGTTAGCTATTGACGGAACAAGCATCTGTTTCAAACAACCGAGGCCAATTCATGTCAAACTAATGGAGACTAGTCATCTTGTTAAATAGCAAATGGGCATTCCACATCCAGAACATGATTCTCACATGTGAGCTCGATAATGCTTTGGGACAACAGATTGCTAGCATTGCGGGAAAAATGGCATTTTGGTAATCCACATAAAGTATAACCCCCAGTCACCCTCCATCTTTCGTAAATGAATTGACATTAGATGCCGTTGCATATCATCTTACTTTCAGATGAATTCTCAGCTTTTGTCTTCGTCAAAGGGGGACAAAACCCCAATCCAATGGATTGAAATCCAACATAGATTTCAATACTTGGTACGCCAAATCATGATAAGAGCTATCGAGCCTGGGATCTGGCACCATAACCGCGAACCTACCAAATGTATAGGAATATATTAGCAAAGGGAGCAAGAGATAAATCCAAACAATCCAATGCTGCAATGTTTTGATATTAACAACAGGAACAGCATATTTGGTGCAAGAAAATTCCTCGTTAGAAATCAAAATGGTCAAGGGTCAGAGGAAGATCCACAAAGAGGGACCGACCGTTGATGATGGGTCATCGTCACTGTTTCTCGCTATGTCCTCAAATCAGAGGCACCGATAGAGAGAGAGGGAGAGAGAGAGAGAGCAGAGAGAGAGATTTCAGAGAGCAGAGAGGTTGAGAATGAGAATGAGGAGCTAGTTCGCAGGTGAGAGAGACACAGAGAGAGATGAGGAAGATGAAGAAGGAGGAGAAGAAGATGATAATTTTGAATGAAAGCGGGTCGGATCTTATATATATATAGATAAGGGTCGTCAAAGGATCCGTTGGCCTTCATCGCGTTCCTCGGAGGCGCGTGACTTTTCCCCAAATTTTGAAAAACCAAAAAACAATATACAGTTTAGTAAAATGAATTAAAAACTTATTGTTAATTTAGTAAGGAGACTCTTCACAACCGATAAAATTATCAATCAATTTTACTTTTCAAATCGACACTAAGAAATCCGAACAAAAAAAAAATCAGCACTGAAAAAAAGAAAACCGGGTGCATTTATTTTATGAAAAATTCAAGATCTAGAAAATATTTTCCAAAAAAATATTTATTATATCACTCATAAAAATGAATAAATGAAATGTATTTATTTATGCATATATTGTTGTTGATTATAAAAATATTTTTTATTGACTAATTTTTCTAAGTGATGTAACTAATCATTTCCGTAGTTAATTAATCTTAAACTATGGTTACGATTAGTTAATCATCACCATAGTTTAAGATTTCCAAATCTTAAACTTTCCGTAAAACAAACGCACCTTAATATTCTCTAATTATCGCCATAGTTAATTAATCAAGAAAAGTAATTGGTGATTTTCTACAAGTAAAAAAATACGATAATAGGGAATCTTAAAATGTAATGTAGAAATCAATATACATAAGATACTTGAGGCAAATTAACGTTCTCTTTTTTTACTTTAATGAACTGTAGATCTTAATAATCAAATTTCATAAAATATCATTTTATTCACGAAAAAAGACTATATGTATTATGCTTAGTGATTATTTACAAAAATATACTCACCACATGCTCGTGCACATTGCACGGATAAGAATTTTTTTTTCAAAAGATTAAAGTTCAATAAGAGAAATGTACTCAAAATTACTAAATACTATTACCACTTTTACTTTAATATAACTGAAATTATGCTGTCTTTTACACTAAGAGAAATGTACTCTAAAATTAACCGAATTGTGATGGAGCTATTGGCTAGATATAATGACTTTACCATCATGCGATGTTGACATAGTTACATATCATAAGAGTTTATACCAGTTAGTGATTTACACTATACTAACCACGCTACTTGTGCACGCTCCACAATTGACAAATTTTGAAAATCGATATTCTATAAGCAAAATTTACTCTGAAGTTATGTCTACATTTTTACTATTTGGCGCGTTTAATCAAGTGTCAATCTTCATCTTCTATCAAGGTTTGATTAATTTATTTCCAATTTTTAATTTTTTTAAAAGATATCATATATGTGTATATAACTTTGAATTTCTGCAAGTCGAAACATTTAGTCCTCGACGAAACATGTTAATTGGGCTTTATTATTTCTTAGTTTTGATTTTATTTCAATTCAATTTTTTTCTAGGGATTAAAATTAAATATTTTAGTACCTTATGAAATCGAGAATTTTTTTTTCATTTTGTTATTTAATAATGCAGCAGACCATTCAATTATGGAGTAGTAACCTAATTCCGAAGGAGAATTTATCGTAGGAGAAGCTCATGAGCCTCTTCAAAGCTCAGGAGAATTTATTTGCTATACACAAAAAAAATTGATGTTTACCATCCTGTCATAAGCACAAAGATTACATAAAGACACTATTTATTATGAGTAAAAATTAATTTCTTTCATTGTTTTTGCTAAGCCGATTAATTTCAGTCTAATGAAAGTTAGAAGCAAATTTTTTTTTCTTTCTTAAATCCAATTTATTGCTTTTCCAATCATTTTCGCTATTTTCGAGAGGTAAATTTACCATAAGATTTACGTTTTACATTTCATTTTCAATTACCATATTATTATATCGATTAAACTACACACATGGGGACATCCGTAATTTCACAAATTGTGAATTTGTGATAATTGGTTCTTCTCCAAAAAAATTGGGATATTGCCGAGGGCTATAATTGCAATTTTCATCGTGATACTAATTTTTCTTAATATAGAATTTTAACAATTTATTTCTTTTATAGAAACAGGGAAAAAATAAAAAGAAAAAAAAAACATAAAACGAGAGAGAGAGAGAGAGAGAGAGAGAGAGAGAGAGAGAGAGAGAGAGAGAGAGAGAGAGAGAGAGTCTCTCTGCATTTGCTTTTCTCTCTTCGTTCTTCGCTTCTTCTCAGCGAAGAAGAAGAAGAAGGGAAGAGGGAAGGACGGTTTCATCTCCTGTGCGGCCGAGGAGGTCCGCGAATCTGCCGATGCGTACATCCCGATCTTCGTTTCCATTCGGTTGTGGCGGTTTGATGAACTAGAGAGACTCTGTCTTACGATGCCTCGATTGCTTGGAGACTGTGTAGGCTATCCTAACGAGCACGCACTCTTGCTGTCCGGCTTGCCTGTTGTTTGGTCGTGTCGTCCGCTGTTTTCTGGGCAAAATGCACTCGGCATGTTCTCTCTTATGGAATCAACGTGCAGAGCATGATGGGGCGGGGCTAAGGGAGATGAGAGTAGCATCATCACCTGATGATTTGAGGATGATCTCTCGAGGGGACCTCCAAACTGCTTCTGGGTACAGCAAAGTGGCTGGTACATTCTTGTTTTGCCCTTCTGTGAACGTAAGATCACTCGTTTTTCTTACTGGGTCCTTAAAATTCACGTCATTGGTCTTCTTAGAGATGCAGAGTAGTAGGTCACTACTGCACCGTTGGCTTTTAGCATCTTCTTCTTCGTACATTCGCACGT